AGGCGCAAAGCTACACAGAGAAACCCTGTCTCGAAAAACCAAAAAAAAAAAAAAAGATGAGCTGGGGCCAAGATAGCAGCACTCAGGAGGCAGAGGCAGGCGGATCTCTGTGAGTTCGAGGCCAGCCTGGTCTATAGAGCGAGATCCAGGACAGGCACCAAAACTACACGGAGAAATCTGTCTCAAAAAAAAAAAAAAAAAAAAAAAAAGATGAGAGGGAGAAGAAGGGGAAGACAGGACATGCAGGAGTTAGAAGAAAATTATAATGTTCTTGCTTTGCCACAACAAGTAGCTAAAAAATGGCTGCAATAACAGCCATGGGAAGAAGGATGTTCCTGCTGCCAAGCTCAGAACCAAAGCCAAAAAACCAAGTAGAGGTCCAAGGCTCCAGCTGAGGGTGAGTTGGGGAGTTGTCTGTCCTTCTAGACCCTTCTAATATAATCTGCATTAGCTAGGCTTGCACGGTAGCCTTGCTCAACACACCAAGCAATATTTGATGCGTCTATCTTTAGTTAAATATCTGTGACCAAAGGGAACTAATTGGTGTGTTAATGCTACAATGAATGAAAGTTTTCAACAGCAAGCTATCGGGTTTCATCCTTTGCATTCTAGTCAATAATTTTATCAATGGCTTGAGTGAAGAAACAGATGGTATGGTAATCTAATTCTTAGATAGCATAACCCTGGGGAAAATATCAAAGACAGGATCCAAGGAGATCTCAACAGGTTGCAAAGACGAGCCAAATCCAACAGGCTCAGTTTAACTGGGAAGAATAATACACCCTCAGCTCCGGCTCAAAAAACTACAATAAATGGCTTAGTCAAACGCAATTCCAGTATGTGAACGTGTGAGCACAGCTACTCCAAGTTCATTAACTCTCAGTCATGTTAACAGACATGTCTTCTTCTCCCCAGCAAGAAAGCTATCTGACCTCTGCCTATACCAGAGCGTGCCTGGAATACTTTGATCAGTTGCACAACATACAGTCATTTATCTGTTTTCTATTTTTGTTTTTGAGACAAAGTTCACAGCCCTGGCCATCCTGGAACTCCCTCTGTCTACCAAACTGGTCTGAAACTCACAGATATTCACCTACCTCTGCCTCTCAAGTGCTGGGATTCAGGGCGTGTGTCATCATTCCTGGTTATGACTGAATGCATGCCATATATGTGGAGGTCAGAGGACAGCTTGCAGGGGTTGATTCTATCCTTCCATCACATGGGGCCAGGAATTGAACTCAGGTGACCAAGCATGACAGAAAAGCTCCTCACCAGCTGACTTGTCTCAGCAGCCCCCACAATACAGAACACAGAGAAGGAACCAGGGAAGCAGGTGTGGTGGCTTACTTCTAGAATCCCAGCACTAAGGAGCCTGAGGCATGAGGGTCTCCAAGAGTGCAAAGACAACCTGTTCTCACAGCAAGGTTCAGGACAGTCTGGGCTGCAGAGTGATACCTTAGCCAACAAGGGGAAAAAAGGAAGCGGAGAAAAGTCCAGGCTTCTGGAGAGCAGTAACCAGAAGCAGACACCGCCATGAGAAACAGAAAGAAGCAAAGTTGTTTATTCTACACCAAGAGTACACACCGGGAAAACAGAGCTAGAGAAGAATGATATTATTCAAGATAACAGGCAGTCCTGCTGTGGGAAGGCCCCCAGTGGGCCTAGGACCTCCAGGGGAGGGAAAGACCTATAAAATGAAGATTAGAGCCAGTGTGTCGCCTCACGCCTGCAACCCAGCCTGGACTACATATGGAGACTTTTACACACACACACACACACACACACACACACACACACACACACACACACACAAAACCAGAACAAACAAAAAGTAATATGAGAAATATTTTTCTGTGCAATTAGAATTGCTTAACCTGATACAGTGGTATGCATAGCATTTGGAAAGCTGAAACAGAATTGTCCCAAGTCTGAAGACAGCCTGGGCTACATAGTGAATTCCAGGCCAGCCTGATCTATCAAGTGATAATGAGACTCAAAAAAGCAGAAAAAGAAGAGAAGGAAGAGAAGGAGAATGGAGGAAGAAGAAGAGGAGGAGGAGGAAGGGAGAATGGAGGAAGTGGGCAGGAAAAGTATACAAAAGTTAGAAGATGCCACCTGACATCAAGGATTGTAACACTGCAGTACTCAAAGCAATGTGGTATTGGCTTGGTATTTAGAGTCCAGAAATAGATCCAGACATTTCTGGACAATTGATTTTTAAGAAAAGTACAAAGAGAATTCAGTAGAGGAAGGACAGGCTTTACCAAAGGCAGCCAGAGCAACTGAGCATTCCAATATGAAAAATAAAAAAGAATGTGCCAACAATCATACATGGGACCTCATGACATTCAAAAGCCTCATGCAGCAAAGACAATCACTAAGGAAGAGATAACCTACAAAAGACTCTTTTTCAGCTACACATCTGACGGGAGATTATTAGCTAGACTATACAAAGAACTCAGAAAGCTAACTGAAAGGAAATCAAACCACCCAGTTGATAAAAGAGCTTTCCAAATGGACAGCAGGTTCTCAAAAGATGAAATGCAGATTGCCAATAAAGCATGGAAAACTGTCCAACCCCACCAGCTGTCAGAGAAACGCAAATCAAAACTATATTGAGACTCCATCTCACCTAAGTCAGAGTGGCAGTTGTTAACAAGTAACAGTCCAGCGGCGGTGGCCCAGGCCTTTAATCCCACCAATCCGGAGGCAAAGGCAGGCAGATCTCTGTAAATTCAAGGCCAGCCTGGTCTACAAAGGAAGTTCCAGAACAGTCAGAGCTGTTAAATAGAGAAACCCAGTCTTGAAAAACTAGAAAAACAAAAACAAGTAACAACAAGTGTTGGCAAAGACATGGACAAAAGACATCTTCTGCTGGTGGGAATAAAAACTACTCTAGCCACTATGGAAATTCAGTTTGGAAGCCTGTCAAAAAAACCTCAAAATAGGGCCGGGCGGTGGTGGCGCACGCCTTTAATCCCAGCACTCGGGAGGCAGAGCCAGGCGGATCTCTGTGAGTTCGAGGCCAGCCTGGGCTACCAAGTGAGTTCCAGGAAAGGCGCAAAGCTACACAGAGAAACCCTGTCTCGAAAAACCAAAAAAGAAAAAAAAGAAAAAAAAAAAAAACCTCAAAATAATGCTGGGCATGATGGCACATAAACCCCAGCACATGGGAGGCAGAGGCAGGTGGATCTCTGAGTTCGAGGCCAGCCTGGTCTACAGAGCAAGTTCCAGGCCAGCCAGGGCTACAAAGGGAAACCTTGTCTACAAACAAACAAAAATCTCAAAATAGCCAGGCATGGTAGCAACATCTTTTATCCAAGCACTCAGGGGACAGAGCCAGGCAAATCTCTGTAAGTTAGAGGTTAGCCTGGTCTACATAGTGAGTTCCAGGATAGCCAAGGCTTTGTACAGAACCCCTGTCTTGAAAAAAATAAATAAATAAACAAAACCAAAAACCTCAAACTAGATTAACCATATGACCCTGATACATGGCTCCTGTGTCTCTAAGTCAACACCACAGACACTTGCACATCCCTGTTGACCACAGCACTGTTGGTCAACCAAAGAACCAAAGAAAAATATGCCCCATGTATACATGGGGGTTTTTTCAGCCATGAAGAACAAAGTTTTACCATTTGCAGAAAAATGAATATAACTGAAGACAATATATTAAGTGAATTAAGCCAGTCTTAAATATTGTTTGTATTTCTTCTCTCATTTTTGGCTCCTAAATTTTACATGGATACAAAAATCATACACAGGTGCGTGACGCACGCCGGCACATGTGCGACAAGAAAGGAGAAGCAAAACTACCCAGGAGAACAGAGGAGACAAATGGGAGAGGGAGAAATGAGCGGGGAGGAGTGGGGGAGGGTATGCTCCATCTATAACACACACTACGTGAGTGTGTCCTCATGTGACACAGGATTAGGTACAATGGATATATAAAATAAAAATTTTAGTACGGAAAAAGTCAAGCTGGGGGGTGAACCTCTAAAACATTATGCGAAATGGAATGAGCTGTCACAAAAGGGCAAACACCATATGATTTCTCTTATATGAGGTTTCTAGAATGTTCAAAAACCACAGAGACAGAAAGTGCAATGGACGGTGCCAGGGGTAGAACTTTGGGGAATGGAGAGTTAGTATTTAATGGTAGTTTCAGTTAGAGAAAAATGAGAAAATTCTAGAGATAGGTGGTGGTGATGTCTACACAATAATACAAATGTACTTAATGCTACAGAATTTGCTAAGATGCTAAATTTCATGCAATATATATTTTACCACCATTAAAAAAAAATTAGCAAATTTCTGGCTCTGCCTAACATTACCAAAGCAGTGTTCTCTTTGGCGTTTGCTGCCAGCTCAGGATAGGTTTACGCTCTGGGAGCTCACCTCTCTCCAGTGACATCTTTCCTATGCTTCCTGGTAGTTTTTTGTTTACCTCCCTGCAAAGGAAGGCTGCTATTAAAAGCGTCTTCAAGTGGAACCTAAAATTATAAAGACTGAGGTCACGCGATCATGCTAAAACTCAAAGCAATCGGTGAGATTTGCCAGGTTTAGGGGGCATCAAGTTTGGGATGAAAGCTTGCCCTTACCCTCCCTGCCACATCATGTGACCAGCCATGTTTACTACTGTCTCAGCAGCCCCAAGCAAAGCTAGTTATTATACAAACCCCTGATCACCAAACCACACACTGGGTCTTTTTTTCGGAAGGAAAACATTCTGGTTTCAGCAGTGGCTTAACGCTTACTTCACCCAGGCCTCTTTGGAAACTAGGGTTTAAAACAGTTTTAAAGAAACCTGTCCTTTCAGCCACGGAGGGCACTATGGTGGAAATAACACAGACACCAGAGCAACAGGACAAAAAAACACGTTTACCGGAGGGTGCCAAGGGGGATCAGGAGCCTTTTCACTTGAAAATCAGGAATGGCCTTAGAGGCCCTGTGGGTCTTTCCAGCTCACACTTGACAGCCCAGGTTGAGTTGAATAATACCTTGGATGTAGGGCAGTATTCATTTGACAGCTGCTCCCTCTCTGTATAGAAATTGATTCTGGAGTCCAATTCCAGGGCAAGGAGCAGGGAGGAACCAAAGACTGTGACCTTTATTTCTCATTTGTTTCTCCAGGAGGTAGGCCTTGCAAAAGGTTGACTCTCTTCCCTGCAAGCTGGCACTCTGTAGTCACTTAAAATAGAAATGTCAAGTGTTTTCTGTTTTCTTTCCATCTCACTGCCCCGTCGGCCTTTTGTGGTCTAATCATCTATGAGGTCTGGATACCAAATGGGGCGACCAGGAGTGGACATTCCAGGACAGTTAACTATCTGGGGGCTGGGTATCAAAGGGACGGTTCTTCACCTCCCTGGTCACTGTAGTACTCCCGGGAATCTAGGTTTCCCTGCTTGTAATTCTGCCAAGAGACAATCTGATAGAAGTTAGAGCTGAGGAGGCAGGTGAAATTACACTGCAGCGCGTTAGTGGATTCTATCTGAACTGCTACATCCTGCTCCAGGGTAAACCCACATTGTACAGTGGCCTGATTTGAAAAGTGACTCTCCAACTTTTTTTTTAAATTCCATTAGTCCCTCTTATTTGACTTTTTAGATCCTGAATCTCACCTCTGCTTTTGACTTTGGGGTTTCACAGGAGAGAAAACGGGGGGCATAACACACAAACTGCTTTACAGAATTGCAAACGCTGTGGTGCTATGGTTGCTTCCGAAGAATCTTTCCACGACTCTGAAGGCCGGGAAGCACACGCCAACTGCAGCCAACTGCAACATCACAGCCTTGCAATGAAGTAAAAGTCCCTCAAATTCCACCGGCCCGCAGGGCGCTCTAGATACTGTCAGCTCCGGGCCGCTGGCGAGCCCAGCGCGCGCAGCGGGTGACAACCGTCTTTATTTGGGCTGGGACACCCAGAGGCCTACAAATAAACACTCGTGGCATCAGGATCGGCAGCCCTCTGGCCCAGGGCTCAGCCACGACGAACCCGGGCCAAGGACTCTTTGTTGGACACAACCTTTATTTCTGACGAGGGACCGCAGGCAAGGGGCAAACCAGGACAGAGAGGGAAAATAACAAAACAAAAAACCCGTGAGGACGTGAGGGAAAGAGACGGACGGCCAGGACTTGGAGGCAGGCGCCGGCCCCTCGACTCCCCCACAGAGGGATGCCCCCTTTGATGCCACTTGCTGGGTGCACACCCCGGACACTCCTCGCCTTGGGTAAGAACTCGGAGGACGCACAAGGCCGGGCCCCACGCCCCCTTGCTCCCCACTTCGGGCCGCGGGCCTTTTCGTACTTACCGGGGCCCCCCCGGGCCGGTCTTCCTCGCCCGCGTCCTCTCCCCTCCCTGCCCCCTCCTCACTTCACGTCCCCGCCTCCAGGGGCCGCAGCCATGTCCGTTGCGGGCAGCTCTGAAGCGACTTGCCTCCTTCCCGCGACAACAGAGGTGCAGGCCCACCCGCTAAAGCTCCGAGCGCTGATTGGTTGAAATTCGAGATGGCGGCAGTTTCTGATGTTCCTATTGGCTGCATAGTGCGCTAAGCTGTAGCTTCAACTGCCCCTCTGGGAGCCTGGCGGAATTATGTGATAACTTGCTTGCTAAGAAGTGATACCCACGAGTCTGGTTCCTACTTTAGGCACGATGTTCCCGCGTTTTCAGCTGTAGAGAATCTGACTAGAAGCGATCACACAATTTCCTCCCTATTAGTTTTCCCTCTAAATTGTTCTAAAGCCGTGGACAGGCGATACCTTCCGCCCTTTATTTTTATTTTTTTGAAAAGCCCCTTGCAAGATCGCCTTATCTCTGTTTTCTTCAATTCTCCTTCCTTGTTTTTTTTTTTTTTTTTTAAGTCCCTCCGGACTAATATTGCATCCAAGCCAAAGCTGGAGAATCTAAAGCAATACTGTTATTTCACCCTCGGTTCATCTGAAATCTAAAGGGAAAAACAAGTTTAAAAAAAATTTTTTTTTTTTTCTAGATAATTAGAGAAGTCGCCTGGGAATCCTGTCTTGGGAAAACAAAATAAGCCTGTGTCAGTATTTCCTTCCATTTTCCCAGAGATCTAAGTCTGGAAGAGCTGCTTTAAAAAAAAAAAAAATCTGTTTATGAAATCAAATAGGGTCATAGCTGGCCCTGGGAAGAAAGAGTCTCTTCCTTTTATTAATGAATTTAATCGTGTAATTAAAATTCCTCTTCTCAGCTAGACAAGAAGCCATTTTACTGATTTAACTCTGTTTAAGCCAGTTCAGCTGTTACCTAAAATACCCAGAGAATCATGTCACTTTTCTTCAACATAAATATATGCAGTTTATCATTACAGATTACATGGAAAAGTCTAAATCTCTCCATTTAATCATAGATGTTCATAACATGATGGAGGTATGCATGCATTTTCGGGCCTCACTGTCACGTGGACTCTCAAAAATGCTGGAGAACTTTGCCCAGTGGTTCTCTGAGCTTTTAAGTTTCTTTCCTGCTAATAACAGCCAATATGCACATGCACGCTTGTCTGGAAGTCTCGCTCTAACAGTTCCTTCCCAAGCACTCTCCCTGTTTGTTAAACAGAACTGGTTAATTGCTTGGGTCTTAGGTCTTTCCATTTCATTCTACAAAACATGGTGCCTTTGGGAAATGTTGGACATTTATCCTGCCTTTCTTAGGGCTACTATTGCTGTCATAAAATAACCTGAACAAAGAAACTTGGGAAGGAAAGGGTTTATTCAGCTTACACTTCCATGTCATAATTCATCATCAAAGGAAGTCAGGACAAGAACTCAAGCAGGGCAGGAACCTGGAGGCAGAAGCTGAGGCAGAGACCATGGAGGGGTGCTGCTTACTGGCTTGCTCAGTATGCTTTCTTTCTTTTTGTTTGTTTGTTTGTCTGTTTGTTTTCAAACCTTTTTCTCTGTGTAGCCCCAGCTGTCCTGGAACTCACTCTGTAGACCAAGAGGCCTCCTGCCTCTGCCTCCCAAGTGCTGGGCTTAAAGGCATGTGCCACCACTGCCCAGCCTCAGCTTGTTTTCTTATAGAACCCAGAACCACCAGCCCAGGGATGGCACCATCCACAATGGACTGGGTCCTCCCCCATCAATCACATATTAAGAAAATGTCCTACAGGCTTGCCTACAGTCTTATGGAGGTGTTTTCTCAATTGAGACTTCCTCCTCTCTGATGACTCTAGCTTGTGTCAAGTTGACATAAAACTAGCCAACACAACTGACCCCTTGTCAATGAGACACACAAATACATCACTTTTCTTTTTTTTTTTTTTTTTTGGTTTTTCAAGACAGGGTTTCTCTGTGTAGCTTTGCGCCTTTCCTGGAACTCACTTGGTAGCCCAGGCTGGCCTCGAACTCACAGAGATCCGCCTGGCTCTGCCTCCCGAGTGCTGGGATTAAAGGCATGCGCCACCACCGCCCGGCACATCACTTTTCAATTAGAAACTTTTATTTCTCATTTATCCCCAAGATATGTTATTAATATCACAATATAAAACATAAATAACTTCAAAAGTTTCATAGTCCTCACAAATTCAAATGTAGTAAAATAGCCTATCTCAGCTGGGCAGTGGTGGTGCATGCCTTTAATCCCAGCACTCAGGAGGCAGAGGCAGGCGGATCTCTGAGTTCAGATCTTATCTGGTCTACAGATGGAGTTCCAGGATAGACAGGGCTCCTCCAAGGGGCTTCCATCACTTCTTTGGCTCAACACTCTGTGACATACACAACTTGTCTTCTAGGCTTCAGCTAGCTCCATCCCAAGGCCGCTGCTGTTCTCGGTGGTCATCCTATGGCACTGGCAAAATGCTGGGTCTTCTGTAGCAACAAGGCTGCACTTTCACCAATAGCCTCTTCGAGGTTCTCTCCATGGTGGCCAAGCCTCAAATTCTCTGCATGATCCCTTCAGTCCTGGGCCAGTGGCCTCTCCTGACCTCTCACAGTGCCAAGCCTCAGCTGCTCTCCATGACCCCTTCATGCCTTCAAAACATTTAACACTATCAAGTTCAGCTGCTAGCATGAGGTACAACCTCAACTGCTTCTGGAACACAGCTTCTGTGTTCTGTCTTTCAGGGAACACTTCGAGGAAGATCTCACCTCGGTGATGCTGGTCTCTTCTGAGCCACAGTTGATTCTTCAGCCCCAGCAGATCATCGTCCATTGTCCCAGCAAAGCAGAGGTGAAGCGTGACCCTAACTAGTCTTCTTAAATAAAAACCCGGAGTCAGATCTGGGGTAAAAACTGAGAGATCAGAGAAGCAGAGCAGCAGCCACTAGAGACTTGTTACCTCTACAAATCCTCAGACCAAATGGGGAGCCGAGATCTGTCTCCACCTCCCGAGTGCTGGGATTAAAGGTGTGAGCCACCACTGCCTGGCCTCTATGGTTAACTAATGACTAGTGCGCCCTCTGATCTCCAGGCAAATTTTATTTGTCAGAACACAAACAAAATACCATACAACACAAAGGTTTAACTTTAGCGGTTCTGGTCTCTTGGTAATCACAGCCGATCCTTCAGCTCCAGCTGACCGGAATCACAGATTCTTCACACAAAAGGCCTGGCAGGATCTTTGCTTCCTCTGAAACCTCACAGGCCAGGCCTCCATCCTCTGCACTGATCTCAACATTACCTTCCAGACTCCTACAGAACAGCCCACTGAGCTCCCAAGAATCAATGGCTTTTCTAGCCCCCAGTTCCACAGTCCTCCCAAAAAAAACATGGTCAGGTCTGTCACAGTAATACCCCACTTCTGATACCAATTTATCTTAACTTGAGTTACTATTGCTGGGATAAAACACCCTGGGCAAAAGAGACTTGAGAAGAAAGGGTTTATTCAGCTTATACTTACACATCACAGTTCATCATCAAAGGAAGTCAGGACAAGAATTCAAGCAGGGCAGGAACCTGGAGGCAGGAGCTGTTGCAGAAGCCTTGGAGGGGTAACTGGCTTGCTCCTCATGGCTTGCTCAACCTACTTTTTTTGGTTTATTTTTTAAGATTTATTTACTTTTGTATGTATCTGAGTGCTCTATCTGCATGTACACCAGAAGGGGGCATCAAGTCCCACTATAGATGGTTGTGAGCCACCATGTGGGTGCTGGGAATTGAACTCAGGACCTCTGGAAGAGCACCCAGTGCTCTTAACTGCTAAGACATCTCTCCAGCCCTCAGCCTGCTTTCTTATAGAACCCAGAACCATCAGCCCAGGGTGGCATCACCCACAATGGACTGAGCCCTCCTGAATCAATCACTAATTAAGAAAATGTCCTGTAGGCTTGCCTACAGCCTGATCTTATGGAGGCAGTTTCTCAACTGAGTGTTTTCTCTCTGATGACTCTAGCTTGTGTCAAGCTGACTTAAGACTAGACAATACACTGCCCTACTTCATATTTTTTTTTTTGAGTCAGGGTCTCTATGTAGCCCTAGTTGGCCTGGAACTCACTATGTAGACTGGGCTGACCTCAAACTCACAGGGATCCACCTGCCTCTGCCTTCCAAGGGCTGGGATTAAAAGTGTGCACCACCACACCCTACCTTGGTCCCTCTGGACCACACATGCCTGGGCACCATTTAGACTTCCTGAATAGACTCACTTCAGTGAACTTGAACTGGTTGCCTGCCAGTTTGAAGGGCTGTGAAACCCTCCCTTTGCCCCTGACACCCATAAAACCCTGCTGAAAGAGTAAATGGTTCAAACCCAAACACGCCAACGACATCCTCTACAGCACCTTGGGTGGCTTTCCCAAGGCTCTGAGGGCCTTTTGGCCGCGTATTTTTAATCTAGCCATTTCAAGCAACTAACTGTACAATCCTCCATTTTTCTGAAGCATCTCCAGTCTCTCTAGGATATCCCTGGGAAGAGGCCCAAGGCCTTCCAGTGGAGATTTTTTCATCTGTCTCTTTTTCCCCTCAGCATTCTTAGAAGAAGGAGCCACCCCTGTGTTCTTACAACCCACAGTGGAGGAAGAGAATGGACTCTTGTCTTTTGACTTCTAAACACATAACATGGTTCCCACATGCCTCCAAAATAGTTAAAAAATGTAAAAAGCCATCCTCCGCTTTCCAATCTCAAATGCTACTCCCATCTTGAGTCCCGGCTAGTGCAATGCCCTTCCTGGCCTCCTTGCTTCCCGATTGGCTCCTTATCACTCTTTCAGATCTGGTAGGCTCTGTCCCACTGTTTTCTCACAATTGCCTGTGGATAATTGTATCACCTTGCTTTCCATATGGGTTATACCTTTGGCAGAAGAGAATATTAATAATGCATAAATATGAACAGTTCCTTTCCCTCCTCCCATCTGCTGGAGGCAGGTACTAGCAGATAGATGAGGTGTTTGGGGAGTTGTTTCCAGAGGGGGGAACGTCATTGATATTTTTGATATGGTGATGATTTTTGTTTTTGTTTTGTTGTTTGTCTGTTTTTTAAAGACAGAGTCTCTCTGTGTACCTTTGTCTGGCCTGGAACTCACTTTGTAGACCAGGCTGGCCTCAAATTCCCAGAGATCCACCTGCCTTTGCCTCCTGAGTCCTGGGATTAAAGGTGTGCGCCACCATGCCTTGACTGTGGTGATGATTTTTAAAATTTTTTATTATTTTGGGAGGTGTGTGGGAACCATGTTATGTGTTTAGAAGTCAAAAGACAACTTAAGAGTCCTTCCTCCTCTTCCCCTTTGGAAACTGAACTCAGGTAATCAGGCTTGCATTATTGGGTTTGGTTTTTGTTATTGGGTTTTGCTTATTTGTTTGTTTTTGTTTGTTTGTTTTGAGACAGGGTAGTATAACTCTGGATGTCCTGAAATTTGCTGTGCAGACCAGGCTAGCTTTGAACTTACAGAGATCTGTAGCATGAATCTTAACAGTTCTTGCCTCTGCCTCCTGGGTACTGGGATTATTGGCAAGCACCACCACACGCTGCACGTTATTGGGTTTTGGGGGGGTACATACTGTAGCCCAGGCTGGCCTCCAACTTACTACCCTAAGATGACATGCCTCCTGATCCTCCTGCCACCATTTCCAAGGGTGTGTTTTAGAAGAAAGAAGAGGACTGGGGGTGTAGCTCGGCTGGTAGAGTGTCGGCCGAGCGTAAACGAAGCCTGGATTTTGTCCCAAGCACCCCATAAGCCCGGCATGCTGGTGCAGACCAGTGATACTAGCACTTTGGAGGTAGCAGCAGGAGAATCAGGCGTTCAAGATCATCCTTCAGTGACACAGTGAGTGCAAAGCCAGCCTGGCCTACATGAGACTTTATCTCAAAAAAAAGAAAGAAAGTGGAGAAGGGGAGGGAGGGAGGGGCCAGAATGGTCTGAAGTGTGGCAGAGTTGGAGGACGTTTGGAGGGAGGGAAAGAGAGGCTTTAGGACAGAGTGAAAAGCATTCTGGCTGATTAGGTAAAATGAAGTTTCTCTAGATGTTACACTGCTGCTGTTAAACAATTTCAGAACCAAAGAGGTTGGGCAGGAGAGACGGCTCAGCGGGCCAGAGCACAGGATGCTCTCACAGGGAACTGGGGAGGGGATCCCAACATCCACATGGCAGCGCATGAATTTATGTCATTCTAGCTTTGACATTTTCCTCCAGAAAGCATGATGGCATTCGAAGTTGCTTGGCAATTATTCCTGGATGCCAACTTGGTTTTCGTTGCAGATGGTTGTGTCTAGACTGGTGGCACTTGGTTTTTCCCCACTCTAACATCTTTGTTCCTTCATGTCCACTGCCTCTTTCTCCCTAAATATATAAATATAAACCTCTCTCCTTAAAACAAAAGGAGGTGGAAGTATATAAAGCAAAAAGAAGAGGAAAAATATGGGAGGGAGAAGAGGAAAATGCCTTCAGCATAGGTGACCTGGTCTGGGTGACATGCCTCCGTCAGACTAGTCGGAGGAGCGCCCAATGCCTTCAGCTCAGCTTGCTCAGCAGAGAACTGCTGCTTTCTCCACTGGGCGGCCCGGGACTCATAGGATATAGTTGGAAAATGAGTGTCTCATGACTTCAAAATACAAGTGCTGTTAAATCAGTGGAATGACCCTTTCAAAACTGACCAATGAGGTTTGGGCGCATAGCTCAGTGGTAGAGTGCTTGCCTCCATATGCATGAGGTCCTGGGTTCAAACCCCAGGAACTCAAACCACCCAAAACATATATAAGAGGCTGGAGAAATGACTCAGAGGTTAAGATCACTTGCTGCTCTCCAGAGAACCGGAGTTTGGTTTCCAGCAACCACAGCGGGTGGCTCACAACTGCCTATAACTTAGCTCCAGGGGATCCAATGCCCTCTTCCAGCCTCTGTGGGCAGGTACGTATATATTCTCTCTCTCCCTCTCTCTCTCTCTCTCTCTCTCTCTCTCTCTCTCTCTCTCTCTCTCTCTTTCTCTCTCTCTCTCTCTCTCTCTCTCTCTCACACACACACACACACACACACACACACACACACACACAATAATAATAATAATACTTCTCTTTAAGAAGTATACACAAGTCAGGTGGTGGTGGCACATACCTTTAATTCCAGCACTTGGGAGGCAGAGGCAGGTGGATCTCTGTGAGTTTGAGGCCAGCCTGGTCTACAAATAGAGTTCCAGGACATCTAGGACTGTTATACAGAGAAACTCTGTCTCAAAAAATCAAAAACAAAACAAAACAAAAAAAGAAGTATGCACAAAGCTGATCAATTAGGGCTGAGGTGTGGCTGAGGAGCTGAGCACTTTGTTAGCATAGCTGAGGCCCTGGGTTCCATCCTTGGCGTTGAAAAACACTGACCGGTGACATGATGCTTTATTGACCCACCTGCCACTTGTTCAGTCAGTATACATTTAGTGTCGCTGGTAAGGGCCAGCAAGAGAGGAGACACTGGGAATACTGTAGTAAACAAAATGGAGAGGCACGCTATTGTCTGATTATTAATATTCTGGTGGGAGCGAGAGCCCCTTAAACAAACAAATGGTTCCATCATAGCACGTGTGCAGAGTGCTGTAAACAAGCATGGTAACAACCTGCTGGGTTTGTTCCCTTGAGTGGCTGTGGCTTTCTGGAAGCAGTGTTGTTTATGGTGACTCTACATTATCTAAGGAAAGGAAAGGAAGACGGCCATCCCAACAGAGAATACAGCATCAGTGATGGTCACATGATGGAAAGAAGGGTTTGAGGAGCTGAAGGAGATCCCCACCTGACCCAAACACCCAAGGAAGTTTCTAGAAGCTGGAGAAGTTTGGATGCAGTCACATTAGCCCTTTCATCCCATGTCAAGGATTTTGAACTCTATTCTGAGAACAGCAAAAGGTGGTGGGAAGACCTTAAGCATGCTATGATTGGCATTTATAAAAATACTCAGGCTGGATGTAAAAAATGGATTGCAGAAAAGCAAGAACAGTGTAG